TCATTCAGCATCACAACATCCTAACTGTGACATATGGGAATATCCATATTATAACTCCATCCATTTTCTGTACACGCTTCTTCCTTTTCAGTTTTTCTCAATTTAAATGCATTCTTTCAAGAAACGCTTGGACTTTAATCCTGAATCTGCTTTAATATATTCTCCTTTCAGTAGCAATGAAATCATTTACAAGATGTCATTTTTCAGTAGATAATTGGCAGAACTGCAGCCCTGTTTGATCACACTGTTTCAGGAACAACAGGTGTTCTACCCAAGTCAATTACTATGCCAGAGGGAAAAAAAATAAACACATAGCACACTGCCAGGGCCTGTTAACACTACTTCAGCAAAAGAAAAAGAAAAACTTGAACTTTAGGAATAATATTAATGCTGCTTTACCAGTTTGAAAAAAATAAAAGCCACTCACCACTCCAAGACCTGTTTTTCTGTCTTTGAGCCAGCATGTTTGTCTTAGAAACATTTTGAGGAGGAAACTTAATAAATAAATCAACCAACAAACTCCAAACTCAAAAAGTTTTTTTAAATGAACTGTTTAAAAAACCTTTTGCTAAACTATTCAGGCCAAAATTTTTCATCTTCACTTCCAACAAATGTACCGAGCATGACTCTCTGTCAGCACTGTCTTCAACACACCAACAAGTCTTTTCCCAGCTGGGTTTGCTAAAGCTCTCTTCTGAACCCTAATATGTGCTTCATATTGGATTTAGATATTAAACCTTAATCCAGTCAGGCAGACATTCACATGGGAATTGCTTATTATTATTTCAAGTGATGAAAATGCTTTTTTTAAAATATTTGTAGTGGGATTTTGTTACTTTTATTTGCATAACAAGGTCACATTGGACTAAGAATTGGGAGGGAGGAGGGTTGTAGTTGTTACTTTGGTTAAAAATAAAAATTGGTTTGGAGACATCTCCTGTTTCTGCCACTTTAGTAGTTTTATTCTGGAAATATAGTTGTTTTAATGATTGAAGATCCATCCATCCATACATCCATCCATCCATCCATCTTGTTAAGAGGACAGGAAATTGACACACGTGTCCAAACTGACTAAGGTGTGAGGTGGATCCACTGCACCACAAACAGGATGGTGTGTAACTCACCCTGGACCCCTGCTGCTTCCCAAAAGCCCGTCTCAGCAGTTACACCAGGCATAGGAACAAAGGTACCTGACAGCAAGGTGGCAATGCTCAGGTCAGGGTCTGAGTTAGTGGTGTTGTTTGTCACAGCTGGAGCTGCAGCTGGGAGGAGAGAAGTGAGAGCAGACAGCTTGTGTGGAACACTCCTGGGTTGATGAAGATCTGGGGCTGAGGTGGTGGTCTCTGTCCCTGAGATAGCAGGGGGAGTTGTCCTCACAGGACTGACATGTTTGGTGGATGTTTCTCCATATGGGACTCCAGAGTCAGTACTGGAGCTGCGTGCTGGTGAGGCGCTGGTACTAAATGTTAGCATACTTATAGTTGTTGAGAGGGTGGCATTTGGTGTCAAACTGGAAACTCTTCCAGGTGAAGGAGGTTGTGCTATTCTTAGAATATTAGGCCAAGCTGAGGGTATCTTTCCAGATGAAGGAGGAATGACAGCATTTGGAGAATCAATCGGCTTTTTCCCAGAAAATGATGCTGGGGGAGTTCTGATGTGGGCGGGGCTTGAAGTTGCGTTTACTTTCCTGGATGACACTATATTTGATCCAGACGTTGGCAAAGAGTTCTTTTTTCTGTTCAGGGTGTTTGTGGGTGGGCGAGGAGGGTTGGGTTTGTATTTGTTAGCACTGCGGTTCGAGGTCAAAGCAGGCTTCTTTGCAACACTTTCAGCTGATAACTTGGTGGGAGCCATGGTTGCTGCTGTGGCTGAAGTGCCAGAAGTCATGGGTATTGTTGTCGTTGGAGTGTGAGCTGCTTCATCTGCATCAGGCTTCACAACAACTAAAGAGGTGACTGGGGTTACAAAGTTATATTTGAGGGAAAGATTGGTTGCTTTGTCAGTCAGTAGCTTTAGAGTTGCAGGGTCAGTTTCATTCAGTTTGGCGAGGAGCAGCTCTTTGATGGTGAAGTACGCCCAAAGACGATGCACAAAGGTAGACATCCCTTCTAATCCCTCCAAACAATCCACAGAGCTTGCAGCTCGGTTTTCTGTTGAACAGGAAATAGGAACACCATTCTCCAACTTTATGTGCTGTTTTGAATCTACAGCTGATAACGACACCTTAAAGTCTCCGATCCCAGGTTTGACCCTCCCTGCTACAACCAGCTCAGATCCTTGGAAGTAGTTTGGAAACAAAGAGTGGGTGACATCAAAGGCCTGATCATCCAGGTAAGTCAGCTGGACGTCTGACAGCAGAGGGCTGGCCACTTCATCGTAGAAGCCTTTTAGCTGCAAAGCTGCGTCTGCATCTTCGTACACCAACCTGGCTACACCTCGGTTCTCCAAAGCCAGACGCTTCAGAAGGAGAAAATCTGCGTCGTCACCAAAGGCCAGGCCGAAGAGAGAGGCTGAGCCTAATGCCTTCTTGGCATTATGGAGGATTGTGTCACCAGATGTTTCTCCGGTGGTTGCTTCCCCATCTGTGAGAAAAATTATGAGAGGAACTCGACGGGGAGCAACGTGGCTGGAGGATCCAGAGGATGAAGGGTTGATGAGCTGAGCAGCAGACAGCAGAGCTGCATTAATATTGGTCCCTGAGACAAAACAGTGGACAGTGAAGACAATTAACAATAAATTCCATGAAGTTTCACTGAAAAAGTGTTTTTACCTTTGAAAAATTCCACATTTTGTTACAACCATGAACTTCTTTAATGGCATTTTAGAGTGAGGGTTAGTGTTAAGTATAGACAAACAAAGATACTAATGAATGAGAAGGTAAAATTATAGGTGGTTTTATTTTTTTGTAATGTAATGCTTTGAAAATCTCATTGAGCCATGTTCAATCCATTGTTCATGTATAATATGATCTCATGTATAATACCATCTCATGTATAATACAATCTCATGTATAATACGACCTCATGTATAATACGATCTCATGTATAATACGACCTCATGTATAATACCATCTCATGTATAATACGGTCTCATGTATAATACGATCTCATGTATAATACGACCTCATGTATAATACGACCTCATGTATAANTATATACTTTTGTGTTCTCCAATCTCAACTGCAGGACAAATTTAAATTTAAATATTCCAAAAGCAAAACCAGCTGGATTGTTGCAGGTTCATCTTTAAACGTACGTGCATATAAACACTATCATAACTTTCTGCACTTCTTTGTTCTGCTTTTTTTTCCTGTAAATGAAGAAAAGTCTCTATGGATGAAATCAGAGCAACAGGATGAAGGAAGCAGGATTTCAAGTCAACATAACAAAGTGTCCCATTGTCTAGCTCACTCTGACAGCTCTGCAGGGAGAGAGAGAGAAAATAGCTTGGCTCTGCTTTCCAAGAAAATGCCAACACACTGTGAGATGGACCAATATGTTGTCCAAATAAATAAAATGTCAACCAAATAACAAACCAAGAAGCATCTGTTGCCATTACCTTGACACTTTTCATTTCTGCAAATTAGTCATGTGTTCGAATAGGAAATGAATAACAGTCAGTCAGCCTCTGCAGGAATCACTGATCATTATGTTCCAGAGCAGCAGAGACAACCTTTATTTTTCAGAGAAGAGAGACTTCCTCTTAAAAATGTGGATTGTTTATTTTTTATTATTATTTTATGTTCTTTAAATCCAGACTTTGTTGTACAATTTATGACTGAAACAGCAGAATCTCTGCAGTATTTTAACACTTGTTTTAGGAAACTATTTTTCTTTCCTTCCCAAAAGTCAAACTGTTTAAAACGTTTCTGGGTCATGATTTCTCAGGTTTCAAGGTTGAAG